CCCCAATTCATTCTTTGCATTAAGGATTAAGTGGAAAATCTTCCAAGTGCAGCTCCCCCCCACCCCGTTTTACTTACCAGAGCCTGGTCCAATCTCCATACAATGCTGTGCATGGGAGCTGCGGCTCTCTTGGCTATCTCCTTCCTAATAGGCTACTGCTGCTTATGAACGCAGTCAGTGAAGAGTGAGCAAGGGGCAGGACTGAGCTGCACTCGGTCTGTCTATGGACATACAGAGCTGGCTTGGAGGAAAGCCCACATAAGTGACCCCATAGCAAGTGACTTGCTGCGGTGGGTACTCAGTAGGAGGGAGGATCCAGGATCGTCAGTGGGGAACCCAAAAAGAAAAGAATCAGGGCTGCTCTGTGCAAAAGCATTGCACAGAGCAGATAAGTATGACATGTTTTTTATTTTAAAAAAAATATGTATTTACAGTCACTTTAAGTATAACAGGTTCCATTCAAATACTCCCTAAGGAGGCTCTAATCATTGACACCTAATCTGGAAAACCCAGTTCTAATTTGATGGATTTGAAGTAGTTGTAAATGAAAGGGTTTGTACTTACTTTTTCCACATGACAAGTCTGCATTTTTGTTCATTTAGATCATAATATAAATAAAGTCAATTTTATGTGTCATTTGCTCAAGTACTATTTGAATCAAGATCTAATGTTAGCCTGTTCAAATATGCAGACAAACATCTAAAACAAATGTTAATAGAATATACTTATAATATAAAAACACTATTAATTCTTTTTAGGACCAGTTTACACTGGATTTTGTGTCCAGTTCTTTCATGTGAGTGCATAATAAGATGTGGTTCTGTTCACATTGCTGCATTTTCATCCTTTGTGCTTTTCTAGATACCACCCACACCTATGCATGTTAATACACATTAATGCATGTGCACAGGTTAGCCCTTGTTTTACATTGCCCAAGTTCACATCTGTGTGATGTGCTGACATGTTTTGAAAGGACTATTGATGGCAATGGCAGCACATAAAAAATGCGCTTCAACACATGTCATGTTTGTCAACGAGCATCGATAAGACCCAAAAATTCACAAAAACATGTACAGAAAGGTGTGTATATCCAGCCTTAATCCTGAAAGCAGCTTTTTTGTTGCTTTTTCATTGTAAATGATATTCTGTAAAGCTTAATTGAACTGCATGACCACCACAAGGAAAGTTTACAATATTTTATGCATACATCTTTTAAAGAGGAACTATGGTCTGCCATACTTACCTCTCCTTCAATGGTCTGAGGTCCTTTGCCGGTGCCTGCTTCTTCCAGGTGCTGGGATGTAGCCGTCTTTGCTTGCCAGTGCAGGATCACGTCATCCTGGCACACAGGATGGGATGCTTAGAGAACTGAGATGACTAGGTGAGAGTCCAGGTGACTGAGGGCATCTGAAGTCTCAGTGGAGTGAGTGTCAAGGTCCTACCTTTCCTCAGACCTTGTGCTGCTCCATGTGCTGGCATCCATCTTAGGTGTCTGCAAAGCATTGTGGGATCCTTTATGCTTTCAGCCCTCTGCGGCTCCTCCCCCAGGAGGTGGCGGCTTATCACATATAAGTCTGCTGTTTGTGGCTGTCCATTGCATTCGTGTCCTGTCTGTTGCACAGCAGCAAGCTCCTGTTTAGATACTCATTGCTTTCCTGGATACCGAACCGGCTTTGGCTAAGACTCCTCCCGGCTCCTGACCCCGGCTCTGGCGACCGTTCTTCCTGGCTCCTGATCCCGGCTCTGGCGACGATTCTTCCTGGCTCCTGATCCCGGCTCTGGTGACGATTCTTCCTGGTTCTTGACCCGGCTTTGGCTACGATTTCTGCTGTTGGACTTACATAGACTCTTGTCTTATTTTTATATTAATAAACCTACCTTTAATTGCACCTCCTTGTGTGTCTGGCTCCTCGCTCCCTGACAGTGAGAGAGCCTAGGCTGTCAGGAGAACCCCTCTCAAGAAGTCAATGAGTAGGCCTGTGCAGCAGGGTGTTGAAAGTGAAACAGCTGAGAGAGCCAGGATAGCTAAGAGAGGGACACAGAAACAAAGAGGTACTGTGTGAGAGGGACCAACCCGAAGCCAAGGTTTAAGGCCTAAGCAGTGGCGCTTCTGAAGAGAGAGCCAGGTGGCTGAGTATTTTTTCATTACATGTTTTAATTTTGTTTAATAAAAGTGGGCTGACAAGCCCTGAAGCACAATTTGGACTGGCATAGACTAACTAAAATTGCTTCTACCACTGAAAAACTTCAGTATCACAATAGATTCCTGCTATTATGGAGTTACCTTTACAAAAAGTGTTCACATTATTTGTAAGAGAAGATATAATTTAGTAAGAAAAATCAGACCTTCTAGGAAAGAGAGATCCATTCTTTATCATGTATGATATCCAACAAACCATAATAATAATAATTCTGATAAATAATACATTGGTTGTCAGATTGTGAAACCTTTTCATGTGGAAATATGGCTGCATTTTGTATAGTTGGCATTCCGTGTGTGTTTGCTGGAACATAATCAAATTAGAGCACCTGCTTATGGCACTGTGGTCCTTGGACCTGAAGCATGTAATGTAGCTCCAGTGTCAACCAGAAGGTATATCCAAGCAAGTTTCACCTGATGCTGGCTGCTGGCAGGGTATTTAGTGCCAATGCTAAATTCTCTCAGTGTCTTGGTGCTCAAGCTGTGGAAGCGGGCAGTCCTTACTGTTGCAGAGAACAGCATTTACATTCTGAATTGTGAGTGCTGTTCTCTGTAGCAATATCTTGTGAGCCCAGGCTACAAGATCATGGACTTTGGAAAGGAGGTGGTTCCATAACACCCTGTACCCGTAGGAAGTGGGTTTAATGACACAAGTCTTCATTCTACCCATTAGAGGACCAACAGTAGACATGGAGGGCAGCGCTAGAGCACAGAGTAGGCAATTATTTATTTGATTTTTTTTTAAAAAATAGCATTGGGCTTCAGGCTAATCATTTCCATTGCATTATTAGAGTATGTGCAAAGCTAAAACTTTTTTTTTTTTTTTTTTTTTTTATAGAAGGGGTCAGAACCTCTGTATTTTACTCCTGTCCCCCTTTGGGAGATTTCTCCTTTCTATTTGTCCAATTGATTTATAATTCCAGTACAGAAAGTGAAGGGCAATCAAACATTTTAAATCATCCAAGAACAGAGGTTGAGGGGAATCTATTCTGATGATGGAAATTTTCCTCTCCTTTGAAGAGATTTTCTTATTTCCCATTGTGTTTCTGAACAGGTAATATAGGGAAATCAATTCCACCAGAACAACCTGAAGGCATTCAGTGCCATTTCCTACTCCATACCAAACAAAATAAATATACTTTACACTTCAGTTTGTGAAATGTTCTTTTTTATTTATACTGTTCAATGTTGTGAGTCTCTTGCACTAGCTAGCTTGATAAAGAAGCTCTTTCATTTAGCTGCATCTTAGTCCTACTCTGAACTTATCTCTGGAGATGTCCTCTTGGGTCAGATTCTTAAAATTATTTCTGTTCTTTATATCACCTTAATATTTGTTTACCGGATCTTCAGCTACAGGAACATTTGCTGTGCTGAGATCTTCAGTATCTCTGTAGCCAGGGGACATTAATTGTTATTCCTCTGTGGCTTTGAAAATGTCAATTAAACAAACATGATGTCTCTATCCCCAAATATTCATTATTCACACATACACTTTTCTGTACTGTGCTGTCATTACGCTTTCTAATTCTACGTACACTACACCTTTTACCCACATCCCATGAGGTTCCTCTTCTACCCCTACAAGTCATCAGCAAGCAAATGGTCTACCAATTAACCACACTACCACCCTTGTGAAGTGTGCAGGTGGGTCTAGGTTCCCATAGAAACTTATCTAAGGTGCAGAAACATGGGTATCCAATTAAAAGAGATGTATATTTAGAAATGTGTATTTCACCTCTGTGACATGCCTTTCCAGTGTTAGTTGATGTGTGTGTATATATATATATATATATATATATATATATATATATTAGCTGAGAGGAAATCCAAGACTGCAAATATAATGCAAATAAAAAAGTAAGGAGCCTTAATCACTATAAAAATTCATTTTAAAAGGGTTGGTCTACTGGAATTTTAGTTTTTGGTAGATAAAATAAGGTTTAGTCACCACTAAATTCTTGTTAATGACCTCTGTATGTGAGTTCCCAGATCTGCCCCTGATATGAAATGGTCTACTCCTGCTAGATTTTTATGTCATTTAAACAGATTAATAAACAGCAAAAGGAGAGTTGATATTTTTGGTAAGTAAAGCCATAATTATAAAGGACAGTATTTGCACTGGAGTCCCCTTGATGATTCATCTAACAGTGATCACCTAAAACAATGAAGTTCTGAGTATGGACTTGCCTGGTAAACGACCACATTTACACGGCAATCGGCCACATTTGGCAGACATTTCATGCACACAGTGTGAATGTGCACCAGGTAAATGTTAACAGCCCTTCAATGTAAATTTAACCACTTGCCTACAGGGCACTTATACCCCCTTCCTGCCCAGGCCAATTTCCAGCTTTCAGCGCTGTTACACTTTGAATGACAATTGTGCAGTCATGCAAATTGTACCCATATTTTAACAGAGAGCTTTCTTTTGGTGGTATTTTAATCACCTCTGAGATTTTTATTTTTTCTTAAACAAACCAAAAACCACTGAAAATTGGAAACAAAAACGTTTTTTCTTAGTTTTTGTTATACAATTTTGTAAATAAGTGATTTTTCTCCTTCACTGATGTGCGCTAATGAACTGATGGGCACTGATAGGCTGTACTGATGGACACTGATAGGTGGCACTGATGAGGAGGCACTGGTAGGTTGCACTGATGATTGACAGGCATCACTGATGGGTACTTAAAGGCAGCACTGATACATGACACTGATATGTGGCACTGATAGGCAGCACCGACTGGCACTGATAGGCGGCACTGACTGGCACTGAGAGGCAGCACTGATTGGCACTGTTAGGCGGTGACTGGCACTGATAGGTGGCACTGACTGGCACTGATAGGCGGCACTGATTGGCAGCACTGATAGGTGGCACATTGGCATTGATAGGTGGCACTGGCTGGCACTGATGGGTGACATTGAAAGGCAGCTCAGATGGGCACTGATATGTGTCATTGATGTGCACTGGTATGCACTGATATGTGGCATTGATGTGGCAATGGGCACTGGCACGTGGCACTGATGGGCACTGGCACTGATGAGCACTGACAGGTGGCACTTCTGGGGCCACACTGATCATCAGGGCACACTGATCATCAGTGCCCTGACGATCAGTGTACAGGTCCCCTCCGCGGAAAGCTGATTAGCGGCTTTTCCTCTGTCAGCGTGACAGCTCGAGAGGAGAGAAAATCCGATAACCGGCATTTCCCTGTTTACATGTGATCAGCATTGGACACAGCTGATCACATGACTGAGCCGACATCTTCGGCTCTTTCTGTGCGGACACAGCGGACCGGCGACCACCGCGCTGCGCGCTACCCTGAGCCGTGCATGCGCAATTGAGAATGGTAGGACGTCATATGATGTCCTATCAGAACGAGAGAACCACCTTGCGCCCGTCATTGTACTATAGGGCGGGCGGAAGGTGGTTAAAAGTAAGCTGCAAAAACAGATTTTAACCCAGAGGGCCAATTTTCTGTTTGGAGCTCTCCATAGTGCTGAAACTATATTTTGAAACAGTTTGAGCATTAGGGAGGTTAAATATTTTATGAGGGGTTCCCCAATAACAAGAGTACCCCTCCCAGTACACAGATGCCAAACATTAATTGGTACCAGGCTCTTCAACATTCATCAGGCATAGGTGGTTGTGCCAGCAAGATGGGAACAAATGTCCCACCTATTTCCATGGGAAACAACTAGTTGGTCACACCCTCCCTGTGAACTTGTTTTTTGATCCTTTTATGCAGGTAGGAAAGTAAAAAGGTAAATTCAATCACATTAAAAATGTCCTTTAATTTTGCACATTTTACTATTGTTATTGTTTCCATTGGTGTCTAAAACAGATCCTTTGGAGTTTTTGTTAGCAGTGGCATCAGAAGAAAGGGATCACGGCTCCTCATAGTCTCTTCTCAACCAGGAGTAAAGAGGATACCTGCATTTAGATTTAAATGCCCCAGGGAACTATGGGAAAGTGTCCTTTGTTAGACATCATAGCCCTTATTTTGTATTTGTCCAACAGTCAATGCTGTAGAAATAATCTGACATTTCTGTATGTGTGTTTCCAATTTGTATTAGTTGAATGGCCTTTTTTGAGAGGTAACATGTTGTGATCAGACTAATATCTTAACAACCACCACATACAGTGATAATTCAGACAGCTATTTATAGTAGCTAACTACTTATTTTTAGGGCAAACTTTTTTTTTGCTTTCTGTTTATTAATACATTTAACAAGTGATCCATTCAGCTGTTCCTTCTAAATTAATCTGCACTGCAAATGTTTCTGCATTTGACATTTTTCAGATGTCTGTGAATAGGAGTTTGTTCAAACTGTATTTTACCTAGGTCACTGTGTACTTTCGGTCTTTCTGAAACTGCTCTTGGCTACCATTAAAAAAATGTTTCGCTCCGAAGTGCAGATTTAAAAAGAAAAACTTTACATTTAAAACAAGTAGAGAAAAGATGGTGTCTTTAAGAAAAAAAAAAAACCCTGTAAAAATATGTGATTAAGAGCACAATTAACCTAATTTAAAATCCCCACAAAGAAAAGAAATTCAAAAGCAAAGAAAGCTGGAGCAATAATAAAGTGGCAAGACACAGATACCAATCAGAGTTCTTGTCTCATCAGAGAAAACAGAGCTGGATTTTTAACTGTCAAGGGCTATTTTTATAGCTTCATAGCAGCATGACAGTCGCAGATTTAGGTTTAAAACCCAACTGAACTTCACATTAAAATCTGTTAAATGTATTCCAGGATCTATGTAGGAAATGGTGTCTTTTTATTTAAAAACTATCCACAACCTGGTGGAAAAACCTTTGGGTTGATTTACTAAACCTGGAGAATGCAAAATCTGGTGCAGCCCTGCATAGAAAGCAATCAGCTTCCAGTTTTTTTTTTTTTGCCAAAGCCTAATTGAACAAGCTGAAGCTAGAAGGTGAATGGCTACCATGCACATCTGCATCAGTTTTTGCACTCTCCAGTTTTAGCAAATCAACCTCCTTGTCTCCTGCCAACATACTGTAGAGAATAAACCCTTGCTCTTTGTGTGGAAGCAGTGGTCTCACTGCAGAGGTATGACACTCCCAGACTAGGACCAGATTAAAGACAATCAATGCCCTAAGCACAGCCCAACAATGGCGCACCCTCAGCACTCCCATTGCTTAACTGACAAAATGATAAGGCTCAGAAAATGCTGAAGGTGAAATAAAAGTTTGAAAATGTATAAACCTCATTCGTTTTTTTCCAGGTCAGCCCCAGGCAAGACATTACAACTATATTAAATAAAAACTTTTTCATTTTATTTATTTATCAGACTGGGCATTGATCAAAATAAAGCAACTTCCAGAGCCTTTTTATTTAGAAATGATGAGGGAGCCAGGATACAAAGGTAGATGAGCCCTATTGAAGTTTTTGGGACTGTAATGCACCTGTATGGCCAGTAGAATACAGACTTGCAGTGTGGGATGTAAATCAACAACAGAGGCTGCGGCGGTTGGATCTCAGTACATACAGTATGTATTTAGCTCATTTACATTAAAAGCTCAGTTGGGTTTTAAAGAACATCAGCCACCACAAATTCATCCCTATTGTTTGTAATATGATGTTATTTAACACTGAAGGCTAAAGGTGTACTCCTGGAAAAATGGAAAAAATAGCCTTTCTAAGGGGCTGCTTAATAAATGCAAATAGACTGTGCACTTTGCAAAGTGCAGTTGCTCCAAAGCATAGTAAATGAGGTAAAGCTTTTTACTCTGCAGGAGTAAACACGGTGCTAACTCTGACGCGTTTCGTCACTCCGTACAGCAACTTCCCTATGAGGGAAGTGTTTTTTTTTCTTTTTTTGATACAGTATATGCTAGCTTGACTCTTTCTCTGGCCAATCTAATCTTCCTCTGTCCTTTACAGATCACCAGTGCACTCCCCTGCACATTCTCTGGCAGCCACTTCACTTAGCCTTGCTAGCACCTATCAATCAGGAAGCCTCCAGGAGTCCCAGTGCAGATCAATGACAATGCAGCTTCAATTATACCTGGTGATAAGAAAAGTGGACAACGAGGTTTGGAAACACCACAGCTAAAGCATTCATTTATATATCTGCCTTGATGGTGCAAGAGCCCCACAAAGGCAGAAACATTTGAATTATTTAAAATTTGCCAGTCAGAAGAGGAGACTCACAGAAGTAGAAAGTATTCTCTCACAGCCAAACCTGTGTTTTGAGGAGCATGGCTTGCCAATGGTGCGTTGAACAGCCTCAACACTGAGCTCCAGTTTCCTAATCTGCCAACTTTAGACAGACCCAAGGATACACATACCTCTCACAGGCAATAGGAAGCAGCAGCCAGCCTCTACAGCTGCATTGCAGGCCTAGATGAGCAGAATTGGATCCTATTTCAGCACAACACAACACACCCACTCTCCTGCAATCCAGGTACTCAAGGTGATGCCAAAGTACTCCCTGACCCAGTCATCTCCTCCACATTAACCATCACCTATAGACACTGTACAGCCTGAATCTCCCTTAGCAACAGAGGAGTCTCCACAGTCCAGAAGCCCCTTTGGACTGCCAGAAATGACAGAAGATGAATGGGACCTATCAGATTATATTGTGGCCTTGCCAACCCACCAGGATATGGAATGCTACATGGTCAAGCTGGAACACTCCCACAAGAAATAAATAAATGAATTTCTAGATACTCTAAATTAACATACCTCTCAACTGCAAGTTCTTAATATTGACCATATTAAGAACCGCAATTGGCAATATCTGCACTAGAAGGGTTCAAGAGTCAGCGGACACTCCACAAATTGATAGAGCCCATCGAACCTTCCTTTCCAAAAATCTTGATCAACAAAGGCTCAACAACATCATATGTAAATTACATTATTACAAAGAGGCAATAATGGCAGCTGCTAGATCCCTTATCACAAAAACCTATGAAGGGATTACCATCACTCTGCTACCAAATTTTTCAAGGCAAACCCTTATGTTTTGGAAACTTCTCAAATCTTTTCTGGAAGAGCTGAATAAAAACAACATCATATACCACTGGAGATACCAAACCAGCTCTTCCTGCCTCCAAATGTAAATCAGTAGTGTTGGGCTCGGTGTTTGAGTCGAACATAAGTTCGAACATAAGACTCGAACATCGTGTGTTCGCTGAACACACAAATATTAAGGGCATTCGGTGGGTTATTCGCCCACCGAGCGCCCAACAATGCACTGTGCTCTCACATTGCATTATGGGAGCCATGATTGGCCAAAGCAATACACCTGACCACAGGGAAGGTGCAATGCTTTGGCCAATCACAGCACTATAGACTGTAAGAGCCATGATTGGCCAAAGTCACTGTGACTTTGGCCAATCATGGTTCACGGCTAAGTCCACACTCCACATTATATAAGGCTGCTTACACTGCAGCCCTATGCAGTGTGTTGCTGGACACTTCCGAAGACAGAGGGGAGAATATTCTCCTCAAATAAAAAAAACAAAAATAAAACAAAAAATACATTAAAAAAAAAGAAACAGCGTGGGTCCCCGCCCTAATCCATACCAGGCCCCTTAGGTCTAGTCGGAAGGTTAGGAGGGACCCCACAGTAAAACTTTTTTTTTTAAGTGTGTGGGGTTTCCCCTATAAGCCATACCAGTTCCTGTAGGCCTGGTAGACTTTTAAGGGGAACCCCACCCCCCCAAAATGGGGAAGAAAAAGCATGGGGTCCCACCCAAATTCCTACCAGACCCTTGATCCGAGCACAGGCCTGGCAGAGCAGGAAGGGGGGGGGGCGATCGAGCTCCCTTCCCCCTGCAGCTTCCTAGACCGCATGCCCTCGGCATGGGGACAGTGTTCCCATGCTGATGGGGACAAGGGCCTCTTCCCTACAACCCTGTCCTGGTGGTTGTGGGTGTCTGCAAGCAGGGAGTACCCTGCATCATCAGGGTACCCCTTTAAATAAGGAGCTTTTTTTATTAAATGGCTCGTCAAAAACTTTTGTTTTGATTTTTGTTCAATTAAAGGAATTTTTCAAAAGTCAGACATCTTTATTTTTTCTAAATTTAACCCTTTAGTGAATGGGTAGGGGTACAAATACCTCTTATTCATTCACGGGGGGGGGGGCAGCATCAGGGTGACCCCTTATTTAAAAAAGAATCATGATGCTAATGAGCCCCCCTGCTCGCAGACCCCACAACCATTGGCCCTGTTCCAATGCCGACCGCATGTGGTCTGGTAAGCTG